TTCTGTGCCTCAACCCAGCCAAGACAGTTCTCCCTGCCTGTAGTAACACTCTTCATTCCAATTTGCTATCAGGCCTCATTCAGCTACCAGCTCACTGTCAGCTCCTGTCTTCCATGACTATCATCTACCTCATTCCTGTTATACTGTTAACAGGATTACTCCTCAACTGAAATATCTTTGATTTATTTGTTATCTCTTACTTCTAAGCTCCTTAGGGCAGGGACTTTGGATGTCTTGTCTGTCTCTGCATGCACAGGACCTTCAACATTCCCTGGCACACAGCTGACAGTTGGTAAGCATCTGCTGCATGAACTAATGGATGAGTCAATTTATGTCAGTCAACCAGCTAAAACATGAGTTCCTAGTCTTGAAACTATTCTTTGAGAATCAGTAATTAGCAGCCCCAACATAATGTAGGAACTCAGTTACATCTGTCAGATAAACAAATGACCAACTTGCTCACCATAATTAATTTCTGTTCATTCAAAACTGCTTGAAGAAAGAAGTGAATTTGAAATTGACCCTGTATTACTATTCATATATGCCAGTGCTTACACTTCTGTTTCAGGGCTTTGCACTTACTGTCCCATCTGCCTGGACAGCTCTGCCCCTGGAGAGCTGCATGGCTCACAGCCCACTTCATTCAGGGTCTCTATTCAGAGATGCCTTCCTATCTAAAAAAGCACCCACCTCAGCCACTCTCCATTCCTTTACTCTATTTTCCCAAGTAAATTTTATGAGGCACATTAATTTGCTTTCTTGTTTACTATGCTTCTCCCTCCACTAGACTGTAAGCTTCACAAGAGAAGGGACTTGGCGTTTTGTTCACTGTAATCTCCCTAGAGCCTTACAACAGTGAGGAGCACCTACTACATATTTGTTCTACTATTTTCAAAAGCTACATACCCTTGATTGATTTTTCCATCAGCACTATCATTCTTCACATTTATTCTGGTCAACAGACTGTGACAAACAGGAAGAGGTGGAGACAAGTGATTCTAACACCACATGATAGAATGACCCTAAAACAACAAAGCTGAGGTGCTAGTGTAGGACGATTTTTAAGTTAAAAAAAAGTGTGTGTGTGTGTGTTAATAAATATGCATGCCACAATCCCTGCAAGTTAAAATACTACACAGAGCCCAGAATTGTAACGTTAGTTAAGGGACTAAATATCTGTCAACAAACTCTTTTTATATCTCCTTAGTGTAATGTCTATAAAACCACATTGTAAGCTTAGCCCTGATTTGGGAAAAGTATGACAAATCAGGTAATTTTAGAGATAACTCTACAAGTTTCAAATATATCAGCAAGATCAAAGTCTAATTAAGTTGTCTTACTTGGCCACAGGTGAAGTCACCTCAACACTTTAAAATATTAGCAATATATAGGGCCGGCCCTGTGGCTTAGCGGTTAAGTGCATGCTCTCTGATGCTGGCGGCCCGGTTTCGGATCCCGGGCGCACACCGACGCACCGCTTCTCCGGCCACGCTGAGGTCGCGTCCCACATACGGCAACTAGAAAGCTGTGCAACTATGACATACAACTATCTACTGGGGCTTTGGGGCGAAAATAAATAAATAAATCTTTAAAATATTAGCAATATATAAATGTAAAAAGCATTATTGATTTTAAAATACTCAAACTAGAAATGGAAACTTCATTCATTTGCCTTTAAATGAGGGGTGAGGGGCCGGCCCGGTGGCGCAAGAGGTTGGGTGACGTGCTCTGCTGCGGCGGCCCGGGGTTCAGTGGTTCGGATCCCGGGTGCGCACTGACGCACCACTTGGCAAGCCATGCTGTGGCGGCGTCCCATACAAAGTGGAGGAAGATGCGCACGGATGTTAGCCCAGGGCCAATCTTCCTCAGCAAAAAGAGGAGGATTGGCAGATGTTAGCTCAGGGCTGAACTTCCTCACAAAAAAAATAAATCAATAAAAATAAATAAATAAATAAATAAATGAGGGGTGATACTTAACTTTCTCCACAGAGCTATCTTTGGAAATCCTTACCAATACCAAAAAATAAAAACATGTACCACAATAAATCAATTATGATAGACTTATCTAAATTCCAAGTTCTTCTTGTTGAACGAAGGGCTGGACCTACGTCTAGCCTCTTCCCACAGGCCCTCAGTTATAGATGAAGACTTTTGGAATAAAAGCTTTGCTTTCCAAGGCCATCTCAAAGACATCTCTGACATAAGCTGCTCCAAGATGTGTGCCTTTTCCTTAGATATTTCCTCCACTTTAGAGAACCATTCATGAGGCCTTACATCTGGGGAAAGGGAAAGAGATCCAATGAATGAAAACTATCTGGCACACACACATCAAGAACATACCCAGGGGCCGGCCCGGTGGCGCAAGCGGTTAAGTGCGTGCGCTCCGCTGCGGCGGCCCGGG